GGGTACTTTATTTTTCAAGCTGTGTTCAGAAGGCTGTTATCAAATCTGCTAAACTGCTAATACAAGTGGCACTACCTCAGCATCAGCAGCAGCAGCAGCAGAGTGAGGAGGAAAAGGAAAAACAAAAAGAATTGTTCAGGACACTGAAGAATAGAATGTGTTGGACCACAAAATTCTGCTGAAGCAGAAATCAGAAGTGAAAAAGTGAATGAATTCATCGTTAGATGTACGATTATATCTGTATTTGGTCAGAATACACTGTACTACTACTATATAAGGACAGCTGGCCTGTGATTAATCTGATTAAGATCTTGAATCCACTTACAGACCTGTTTCATACTCCAAGTACCTTTTGGTTGCAGGGCTCATATCTGGAGCACAGATATGTGAGAACATTTGCCTAAAAATATCACAGGTTGGTCAGAATTGGGCCAAAGGAGTCCCAGAGAGAGGGGTTTGTCTTCAGGGCACCACCTCCTCTGCCTTACAGACTTTGAAATGATGTCATCCTTTTTTCTTTCTTTTTTTTTTTTACACTTTTGTAGCTTTTGTGTGCCCACATTAGTGATGGATCCATTGATCAGGCGGTTCAAACATTTATACACAGCCGCCTGCAGTAACATACACAAGAGAATCACTCAGATCACGGGGCTCTGCTACTTGGGAGTTTGTAAATTTGGCCCTCGAGGGACGATGTAATTGCCCAACATCAGTCTATAGTACACACACGTGACGTCGCTCCCACCCCCACCCCCACACCCCCTTCTTCCGAGGTTGTACTTCCCTTTTCCTACGTTCATCACTTCTCCTGAGATGATGTCCATGTTAGGACAGAGATGTATGTCCAGCCCCTGGGTAGGCGTGGGTGTTGATTTAACAAGCTGCCCTGCTGCTGGCCGATCAGCCTGATGATACATTTCCAGCACTGCATCATGTCACCGTGATAAGAACGCTTGTCGCTTGTGTCAGTCGATGTGGCATCGCCACACGCACGCACCGAGTCTGGGTTTAATCTCGTGTACTGTGTGCCGCGGAGCCAGAACGCCTCCAGGCTTGGAGACAGAGAGAGGGCAGAAGTGGGAGGCGCTGTACTTCAGTGTTAGGAGTACAAAACATAGATCTAAAGAAGTAATGAACACTTCTTCGTAGTGTTTTTGTAAATGCCCGTTGGGACACATCGACTCGGCACATAATACTTTTTTTGAAGTATTTTCCTAACACTGACAAACCTGTTTTTGACACTGGAGTTATACATCATTTCAATGGAAACTTTACTCAGAAATATAAATGGTGGAACACTTTAGTACTGTTAAATTTGAGATTTTTGGTGGATACAAACTTTGGAGACAGCAAATTGATTATTATAAATTTCCTGCGGATGAAAATAAAACTATTTATCACAGGACATTTAGGCTTTTTTTTAAGACAAATAACATGTAGTTATAAAGCGTGATATTATGTTGCATTGTTAATAACTTTGTAATGTAATTTCCCACAAGGACATTTTCTGATTTTTCCATGCATGATGCAGTCACTTAATTAAAACTGGCATTAATCAAATCCAATCACATGACAAGCTTGCAGGAGCCAATTATTGGAGCAGGATAACCTGCACGTCTGAGC